CCAGGTCCAGGTTTATTGACAAGGTTGTCTTCTTCTGAGTTTGTGTTTTGATCTTCCCTGTCCCCACAGAAAGAGTCTGTGATCAGTGTTTGTTTCTGCTTTTTTCCCATGATGTTAGCCAATTTCTTGGTTTTTAAAGTACAGCTGTCCTGCTGGAGCACAGGTTGCACTGTTGAAAGCTTCTTGTGCTGGGGGTAAGAGCCCTGATTGCTGCCTTTGTGTGCTGGGCCTCATGCTGCCGCTGGGCCTGCAGCCTACATGTTGAGCTGGTCCTGGGGTGTGCTGGTGGCTAGCCAAGTAGGGTTGTTCTGTGTGTCACCTGGACTATAGTGAAGCACTTGAAGGTCTGGAAGCTGGGGGACTCTGCCCTGCAGAGGCTGCACAGAAGCACAAGAAGTCCAGCCACTTGAGGAAGCCTCCCTACCTTGACCTAAGCTAAATCACTGGGACGTCTGGCTGCTGGATGAAGTCTGCCCACCTAGGCTAGGCTGGCCTATGTGGTTCTCTCAGCTGGAGTCTGCCACTTCTCCTGACTCTCGTAGGGCACCTGGGGGATCCTGGTGTTGACATTTACCTGCCTTCTGTAAAATGAGCTGGGGAAGGAAATAGCAAACCACTCCAATATCTTTATCAAGAAAAACCTAAATGGGCTCACAAAGAGTCAGACTCATGTGAAAAATGACTGAAGAACAACAACAAGGGGAAGTAAGGTAGGCATCCCTTGAGGAGTATTTTCCCAGGGTGCCCCACTGGGCTTTGAAGCAGGAAGGCTGTAATGAGTTGCCTCATCAAGAGCTGGGTAGAACAAAGTTGGCTGCCCTATCTCTCACCTGGCCATGGTGCCTGGGCACACATGACAACATCAATCTCTTTGTGTTTGTTTCTTTCTGATCTGAAGCAAGTGAATATTTTCAGATGAAACCATTGAGGTGACCTGGGAAGTTCCCAAGGGTAGACAGAACTGAACAGAGACAATCATAACATCCTCAAAGCAATAACGAACAGTGTCATTGGAAGCACCTGCACTGGGAGCAGAGACACAAGAAGGACAAAGTGACATATTGTTTCCTCTGGGCTCATGCTCTAAACTCCCACTGGCACTGGCAGGTTGGGTCCCCTACAAGGTGACTAACTACTCTTCCCACGGATCTAGGGGTAAGCAAAGTGATTCTCCTAAAGTGCAGGTCCAACCACGTCAATTCATACTCAGTAACCTCCAATAGTTCCCTATTATCTCCAGGATCAAATACAGAATCCTATATTTGACATTCAAATCCCTTCACAATATTCTATCTTCTTACTCTCCAAAATTCTATCCAGTGACACTGGCCTGCTGGCTGTTCCACAAACAAGATACTCCATCTCTCAACGTCAGACATTTTCTCTGGCTGTCCCCCATGCCTGGAATGCTCCCCATCTCAGCCTACTGCTCCTTCAGTCCTAGCTGAAATCCCACGTTCTACAGGGAGGCTTTTCCAATACCTCACATTTTTCTTCTTTTAAAGGCAATCAGGGTTAGGTGACTTGCCCAGGGTCACACAGCCAGTAAATATCTGAGGCTAATTTGACTCAGATCCTTCTGACTCCAGGTGCTCTATCCACTTTGCCACCAAGCTGCCCCTTCCAATGCCTCACAATACTAGTGCCTTCCCTCTTTTATATCCTATTTATCCTGTATTGAGCTTGTTTGTACACATTTTGTTTGCTTGATGTCTCTACAATTAGATTGAGATCTCCATGAGGGCAGACACTGCCTTTGCTCTCATTTTGTATCCCCAGGGCTTAGCACATTTACCTGGCAAGTAATAGGTGCTTAAGTGTATATGTGTGTGTGTGTGTGGGGGGGTCACTTGTTCTTGAAAAGGAACATGACATCAGAGAGATGACATGACTTGCATTTGACTTTGATTTGAGGGATAGAGATCTGTGCAAAGTCACCAGCCTCACTTTCTTCTCCCGAGCCATCTGGGTCCAGTGGCCAGACATCAATCAGAACAATTGGAGGACAATGAAATATAATGAGAATGAATAAAATGAACTAAAAATATGAAAGAACGAGTGTCCTGCTTTTAACAGCACTGTGCCTTTAGTGGAATAAAAGTTGACCGTGGACACAGGAAGACCTAGGTTCAAATCCTACTCTTACACATACTAGTTGTGTTACTCTGGATTTGCCATCTAACCTATCAGCATCCCAAGAAAATAAGACAATAAGTTACAGGCTAAAATGTCAGTAAAAGCCAGTACTATGAACTACAGAATTGCTGATATGCATCAGTGGAGTTCACACAGTGATGAAATCTCAGGTTTAGGCTATCGCAAATGAATTATAAACAACAAATCTAGAATAAGCTATAGCAAAAGGAGAAAGAAACTACATGAAAGGGTTAAATAAGAGAGAAAGGAGGAGAAAAATCAAGTGGCAAAGATCACAGAATACATAAATGAAAATGCCAAATATATTTTATTCATTATCTATTTTCTAACATCTTATATACAAAAATTACAGAAAACAAATGAAGTCTGGTTGGTGACAGTGAAGAAAAAAAGCGCCAAATGTCTTTTGTGTCATTGGTTCTCTTGGCCAGTCTTACAAGCAACAGTAATTTTGATCTGCCTTTAGACGTAATTAATTCCATAAGGATTGATGGGGGGCCAGAATTGATTAGTGATTTCCTTGTCTGGAATTTTGATGTTAAAGCCCATCATCTTCGTAACAGATTCTCTAAAATCCACAAGCTATGAGGGGGGAAAAGTAATGAAAAGTAAAGGAAAAAGTAGCATCAACAGCACAGGATTTTTGACATTCATTTGATTAAGACAACTCTATGAGAGAGCCATTTCTTTATGATCAGTGGTAACATAGAGCATCAAACTAGATTTTAAAACAACTTCCTGAAAAAGTGTCCTTTTTTTGGTATGATGTCTCCATGAACTGATATTGTATATTCAAATAAATTTCTTAATATCTAATTCATAATGTCTTAGGCATCTACTTTTTCGGCTCAATCGTATAGTTTTCATTGCTGTAAATACAGTCTGTTCCAAAAGTCTTAGAGCAGCTTTAAGCTTTTATAACAAAAGTAATACTAACAAAACTTAAATATCTTTTTTAAATATTTTATTTTCCCCTAATTACGTGTAAAAACAATTTTTTTCCGTGCGACCTAAGTGAACTTCCCATAAGTGAAGAACAAAAAGGGCACCTGTTTGTTTAAATGAAATAGAGGAGCTTCCCACAATACTGACAAACAAAACCCCTGGTTGAGTTTCTGAAGAAACCTCACTTATCTCAACTTACATGGATGTGGATGACTTTCCTCAGCTGAGTTTTCATGATTTGATTTGCCATTTCCATTTCACTGAGCTCTTTCTTAAGTTTCATCACATTTTCTTCCAGCCTAACCATTGGAGGATTCTGCAACAAGCTCTGCTCAATACTCATCAGAATCTGTTGACTTTTTTCCTTCTCCAGCTGCATGAATTTCTCATCCAAATCTTCTGTCAGCAAAGTCTCCCTTTGGTTGAGTTCGCCCTGAGCTTCTCCCTATGTGGAAAAAAAGGAGATGGTCCTTCAGAAGGTCTTAAGACCCTGACTGTTTCTGGGGTTACCCCTACTGGAGCCGTAACTGATTAGTCAGTCATTCTTTTCAATGCAAGTTAAAGTCATTAACAAATGTAATCTGCATCCACTTCAGCAGCAAACTAAGTGGAGTACTAGAGGAGGACTTAGATAGCCAGGGTTCTGAGGCCAAGATTTGTCTCACCTGCCTAGGCCTCAGTTCTTCGTCTAAAACAGGAATCAGAATCCTTCTCCTCCTTACCCCACAGGGTGATTGTGAGGATCAGTCAGGACAATAGAGGTGAAGTGCTTTGTAACAGAAAATCATACTTCCATGTGAGTGAAAACTTCTTGTGGTTAATGTTTTTGGTTCCATTTGTGAAAGGCACCTGAGAATTGGTATCTTTAGAAGGAAACCAGGGGCAGCTGATTGGCACAGTGGATAGAGCACTGGCCCTGAAGTCAAGAGAACCTGAGTTCAAATCCGGACTCAGACTAAACACTTGACACTTACTAGCTGTGTGACCCTGGGCAAGTCACTTCACCCCAATGGCCTAAAAATTTTAAATTTTTTTTAAAAAAGTAAATAGAATGAAGCCAAACTTTGGCTTAGTTGAGATGGGGTGAGATGTTATTTCCAACTAATTCATTTCAAAACAGAAGCAATGCTTTCATTACTTCTGTCGTCATGTGAAATGGTCACTAAGACAGAGAAAAAATTAAGGAGGCAAACTAGACCCCGACTCGTGAGTCTGAGCTCCAGGCTCTGTGTGGGCCTAAATAGACTAGATTCAATGGAGGGAACTTCAAAAATCACTTTCTCGTTGGCTCGGGTGGCTTCTCCTCCTGTGTTGCCTCCAAGGAAATCACAGCATGATGTTTCAATATGACAAACATCTAGGACTCCACAGATGTTGATAAAGGCACTCCAGAGAAGACATGCATAATTTAGGCACTGGAAGACCTTTGTTCCACCCCTCAGAAAACACAGAAAAGACTAACAGTAGTCCATAAACCAGCTCTACCACTTTCCTCCTCTTCTGTTGATTTCTACCATTTCCCCAGGCTTGTAAAGCCCTTGAAAAATCCTGTACTTTGGACTCCTTGTGGGAGGAAATTAACTTGGAATCATCAGAGACGAAATACACCAATATTTTTCTTTCACCCCCAGAGACCCAGACTGACTCCATAGTTATGGGTTTCCCTCTCTTGGAATGGTATTTGATACAGACAGACCTACATTACCAGGTAACACATGGTCATATTAGGGGTCAAAGTGGAGGTCTTTTGTTTCCCCATATTGTAGTGATTTCACTGCTGCCAAGTGCCTGAGCCTCTTCTCATATCAAGACATCCCCAAAGCCAGGAAATCATCTCATCTTAATAAAAATCTGGAATGTGGGGCCTACTTTTTTTTTTTTTGCCTTGGAGTCTGGGGCCTTCTTCTCAAGCGATGTGGTTGGGAGGCCAAGGAGCTCATGTACCTTTGCCTCAAGAAATGTTAATGGATTCCTGGGGGAGTAACATCCTCTCTCCCTCCCCACCATTACCCTTCCCTGGCCACCAATATGATTCAGGTTCTCTCTGTTATGCCAGGCTATGCTCTGGAAAAGAGAGAAAAAGGAAGAGGTTAAAAATGAGATTGAAGCCTCCCTTAAAAGGTGAATACATTGGGATCCCACTGACCTTTGGCACCCTGCCTGCTGACTGGTGAGCATCCAATTCTCTGAACTGAACACTAGGAGAATCCAATCCACTAGATGGTGGTAGTGTTGCCAGGGGATAACACACATCCTTCATAAAAACATAATCAAACCCACAAAAAGGCTTAACAACATGTTCACACAAGTTGAGTAAGGTAACTGACATGTATATAGAGTTTCAAATCAGTAAATAGTTGAACACATAATGTCTTATGGGATTAAAAAAACTAGTCCTACTATTTACTTATGTAACCGTAATACAATGGACAATGAAAAAATTATTTTTGATGAAGCCTTTGTTGATGTTGAGAACAATTGGTTTGGGGAGGGAAGAAGGAGAGGAAGAAGAAAAGAATATGTACTGACACTCCTAAAGTGCAGCACAAGCCATCTTTCATTCACAAAGGAATCAAAACTTTAGTAGAACCTCAGATAAGGGCTCACATTAAAAATGTATTTTTTAAACTAGTAAAACTAAAATTTTTCAAACCAGACCAAATGATTCCCAAAACAGAACTCTAGATTCTTTTTCACTAATTGCAACCATATTGTTTAGTTATACACTAAGATTATTTTAAAAATAAATGCTCAAAATTTATTTGCCAGTGTGTTCCCCAAAGGGCAGTAATTTCTTTTGGTGGCACAGAATTTTCTTATGTATGATAACACCTTACATTTGCAGGGCACTTACAAGTTTACAAAGCATTTTAGATCCATTAACTGATTTGAGATTTACTACAATCCTCTTGCTTAAGTCTTATCATCCTCACTGTATACATGAGTAAACAAACCCTAAGAGTTGAAGCTATTTATTCAAGGTCAGCCAACAACCAATGGTTGGAGCCAGGATCCAGATGCAGATCTCATCCTAAGTCCTGCATTACACCATGTTGCCTCTCATGAATGGCATGAACAATAACACTGTAAAGTGGATGACCTATAATGTGTTTGTTTTTATTTTGTTAAAAGTGGCTCAATGTTAGTTATGTACATGCTGTGTTCCAGTTAGATTCTGAGATCATGGAGAACAGTACTAGGATGTGAGTGACCAATGAGAACCCAGTCCTCAGGGAGCATGTTCAATTCGCTTGGCCTGATACAATTCCTGTTTTAGTAATAGTAATAGAGTATTAGAGAGTAACAGAGATAATAGGAATAGAGGCACCTACTCTGCTCTTCAGAGCAAGAATACAAACTGGCTCACCAAAATTCCATGAAGGAAGACACATCAGCCAGAGTGTATTGTGCATGCTCCTAGTGAAGGGCTCTCATTGGCCAACCAATCATTTCAAAAGTAATCCTCTCTCTTCATAAATACTGCTCCCTTCTAAGTGTTATTGTGTCTGAAATTCTACCATGAGATAATCATTCTTATAGGATCTTCTTTTAAAATTCCACAACAAAATTTCCTCACTCTAAAAATCAAGTATTTATAATGAGTTGTGGGTAACATGGACTTTCTAATTACTTTTGCACAAAATCAGGAGAATAGGAATTAGTCAGTTTTTTGTCCCTCTGCACCTGTACCCAAAAAAAAAAAACACTTTTCCTTATTGGCTTTTTGGACCTCTTTTGCTATTTGGGTTATTCTGTTTTATAAGGTGTTATTTTCTTCACTATTTTTTTGAGTCTCCTTTAGTTAACTGTCAAAGTGTTTTTCATGATTTTCTTGCAATACTCTCATTTATCTTCCCAGTTTTTCCTCTACCTCTCTTACTTCCTTCTCAAAATCCTTTTTGAGCTCTTCCGTTGCCTACGACTGATTCACATTTTTCCTGGAGGCTTTAGATGTAGGAGTTTTGACTTTGTTGTCTTCTTCTGGTTGTATGTTTAGATCTTCTTTGTCACCAAATTGAAGATTCTATGGTCTGCTTTTTTGTGCTGTTTGCACATGTTCCCAGCCAATTACTTGAGTTCTAAAGTCCTTGTTAAGATAGTATTCTGCTTCAGCTGTGGAGATGGTAAGCTTCAGGGGTTTTGTGCAGCTATTTTCAGAGATACTGGGACCTGTAAATTTTCCGTTCTTTCAGGGTGGTATGATCAAGGGTGAGGTGTTTATTCCTTTCTTGGCCTGCTCTCTACTCTCTAAGTGTGCACAAGCACTCTTTTCTGCCTTGGAACTTTGAGGAGGATTCTCTCTCTACCACCAGCACAAGCTCCACCAGGCCAACGCTCCTCCTTGCCCCAGGATCACTACCCAGAACTGCTACCAATATCTAAGCATGGGCAAAGCAACAATATCCTGCCTCAGCAACAGGAAAGAGATCTCTACAATCCCCCTCTGATCAGCCACTTGATTCCCCCTCTGTCTGTGGGCCAAGAGCTCTGGAAGCAGCTGGATCCCCGGGGCTGTGCCTGAACTGGGGCAGGACTAACCTCCTCTCTCACTGTGGTCCAGCAGACATTTCTTACTGACCTAAGTTTTCTTTGGTGTTTGTGGGTTGAGAAAACTGGAAACCACCACAGCTCTCCGTGATTCAATCCCCTGAGGACTGATCCAGGTTTGCTGAGGCCAGGTCATTGTCTGCATGGCCCAAGCTGAACTATGCTCCTCTCCCAGCCTGGTGCAATTGAACTTCTAATCAGCCAACCAGTTTGTATTGGGCTGGAAATTTCTTTCATTCTGCCTTTTTGTGGGTTCCGTTCTAGAATTTGTTTAGAGCCATTTTCTACTGGTATTTGGAGGGGTCTGAGGGAGAGCTCAAGCAAGTCATTGCATTTACTCCGCCATCTTGGCTCTGCCACATCAGCAAGTCCCCAAAAACTTTTAAGAATGCTAATAACAATGTTATTTTTATGCACACTGGGTACAACTGAGGTCATTAATATAATTTAAAATATTTGTTTTTCCTTGCCATATACTTTAATGGAGTCTTATGTTCTTCTTGTCTAAATACCATTTCCCTTGAAAGAAGTCATCAGCAGCAATTTTCCTTTCTGAAAGCTTCAGGGACTTCTGCTCCAAAAGCTTTTCTTCACTTTGGTATGAGGCACACACAGCTGCTGCTTCTTCTTCTTTTGGCTAGGAAATGTGGTTAAGTGACTTGCCTAAGTGTCAAGTGTCTGAGACTGGATTTGAACTCAGGTCCTCCTAATTCCAGGGCCTGTACTCTATCCACTGTGCCACCTGGCCATCCCACACACAGCCTCTTGATGAAGTTGATGCTGCTGCTCCACCTGCAGAGTTAGCAACTGGATCTCTTGCTGAAGGACATCAGTTTTCTGCAGGTAAATTACAAAAGTGAGATTTGTCCAGACATCCCTTGTTTGCTCCTTCCTTTGCAAGCCAAGCATGCAAGTCCAATTATTATACTCCAAATATGGATTTCGTTATGCTGGCAACTTCCCCTCAAGGAAATCTGCAGTGTAGATCATTGGTTGAGATGAATAGGAGAAAAGGGAGGCTGGTGTACACAAATAGAACACTTCACTCTAACTTAATGATGGAACTGTCTAATCAATTTTCAGGAGCCAGAGAACCTCCACAATGAAAAAACTAGAATATGAGGCAAAAACAAGATTTTTATGGAAGGCCTCTGCAACACATATTCAGTCCTAAATAAACCAATATTTGTATGAATTGGAGGTGAAGAAAGAGAGGAAGAACAGTTTTTGCAACACTGATTTCCAGGTGATGAATTATCTGCATGAGACTATTGGTTCAATTATTCTGATGACATTGAACTGGTGGTTTTACTTTTTTTTTATAAAGCCTTGTTGATACCTTGTTGGTTTGATATACAGTAGATGATTCTATAGAGAAAAAGAAAAAAGTTTGGCGACCACCACATATTCACTAGATATGTTTCCACATGACTTTGGGAGATCTCCTTAACAAGTGATTGAAGCAACATTATTGGGTTTTAACAATTGAAAATATCCTACTATGAGAAATGGTAAAATTAGCTTTGTAATTTGTTTTACTCTTTCACTTGCTTTTCTGCTGTGAAAGCTCAACAACCAAAATGGACTTATAATGTGAAATGAGGAAAGCATTTCCTAAATTAGGAACCAACTTAGTTATAAGGAGAAAATTCTAAATGACAACTTTTCTGTCATTCTATTGCTCTTTAATCTTAAAGAAGAAGGCTGTCTGTCTCTTCTTCTGTACATAAATGTGGTCATAGATTCTTATTTGAAGGTAAAGGACATGGGCCATCCATAAAGAGTTGGTAGAGTCTTCATTTTTAGAGCTGGAAAAGATCTTAGATAACATGTATTCCAATCCCTCACTTTGAGAGATGAAGAATCAGAGGCCCAGAGAAGTAAGTCACCAAAAACACTGATCTGGCAACCAGGATTCGAGACCTGTCTTTCCTGCCTTCAACAAATTACTTTATTTCTTTGTATCACACCTTTCCTAATCTGTAAAACAAGGTTGAGAATACTTGAACTACCTTCTTCATAGCATTCCTCTACTGGTATTTTACCATTAACATAATATGATAACATAATCTAATAAATGTAAAAGCACTTTGAAAAGTTCAATGGTTTCAAAGGGCTATAGGAAAGGAAAGTGTTCTCATCACTATTTACTATCAGTGAAGAGACCTAGGGAATCAACATAACAGAGCAAATGTCTCCTGAACTAATTCTGTTTCCTTTTTTATTTTTTGAAAGGGTTACTGGAAGGAAAGAAGGAAACAAGCATTTCTCAGGAGCCCTCTATGTGTCAGACACTGTATGAAGCACTTCACAATATTATTTCATTTGATCTTCATCTGTGTGGCCAGTTTCATTATTATGTCCCTTTTTACAGATGATGAAACCGAGGCAGCAGAGATTGTCTTTGAACTCAGGTCTTCCTTTTGCTCTATCCATTAGCTGCCCCTAACTACACATCAGCAGAATGCTGCAAAAAATATAAATATTCTGCATAGACTCCAGGAAAGTATTTGACAAAAATGGAAATAAGTGGGACAGAAAGAAACACAATTCTGTGAGTTGGAAACCAGTTCACTGACCACAATCAAAGAGCTCATTACAGTGGGTTAGGAAGGTCTGAAGTAAAGTACTCCAGAGATCTCCAAAGGTCCTTACATTGTTTAACACTTTTTTATCACTGACTTAGATGGAAGCACAGATGGCCTATTTATGAAATCTGTAGGTGATCTAAAGCTAGAGGAAACTGTCATACTAGATGACAGAGTCGGGAGCCAGAAAAGTTCTTCCCAGCAAAAAAAAAAAAATGAGGTTGAATCTCATCAGATAGACTATAACAGGGAAGATTTTTTTCAGTCATGTCTGACGCTTCATGACCCCTTTGGCGGTTCTCTTGGCAGAGATACTGCAGTACTTTGCCATTTCCTTCTCCAGATCATTTACCATATGAGGAAACTGAGGCAAAAACGGTGAAGTGAATTGTCCAGGGTCACATAGCTAGTAAGTGCCTGAGGCCAGATTTGAACTCAGGAAGTTGAATCTTCCTTATTCTAGGCCAAGCACTCTACCTACTGGAAAACCTAGTGATTTTTGTGCCTTTGATCTCCTTGGCGAGCATGCTCAGGTAGTAGAGAGTCTTTTGCAAATGGAGGTTCTTTAATTAATTTCTATCCACAGTCCTGATCTTTATACAACAGAGAAAAGAATTGAAATTTTTCCTTGTTGTCCTTTTTTCCGTAGGCTGATATTATGGTTTCACCTAATAAAGTGCTCACTGATGCAAGTAGATTTGATATAGAGCTGAATTTTGGAAGTCAGAGTTCTTCCTTTCCAGGGGAAAATGGAGGGAAGAGCTCCTCTAATTATATTCATTCATCGGTTACTTTGCTCAGGTTGGTGAGGAGAGGCAGCCTGATGTGATGATTAGTGCTGGATGGGGTCAGAAAGTTGAACTCAGTTGACACTTCTATCACACACCAGTTGTGAGATCGTGGACAAGTCACTTAAAACTCTCTGAGACTCAGTTTCCATATATGTCAAGTGTGGTTAATGTATCTACATTACACAATTGCAGTAGGCCTATATAGTATGCAGTATAAGATGTCACAAAAGTTGTAGTGCTGTTTTAAAATTTAATAGTATTGGGGACAACATAAAAAATTGAAGCCCTGTGTAATTGTTGGGTTCAAGCGTGCCAAGAAGCAGCTTCCTCATTCTCAGTATATGGTGTTCTGCCTGAAGGCCACCTTACCACTCGCAAAATTCAAACCTTCTCTTTGAAAGAGAAGCAGCGATTTGGATCTTACAGAAACCATAGTCAAAGGAACACTGCCATCAGCATATTTTTTTTAAAAAACACATTAGAAAATGGCTGGAGAGCCAGTAATCAGCGCGTTTATCATTCACGTTTATTGAGGAAGAACTTCCCCTGAAAACTCTATGAAGATGATCCACGCACCTCTGTCTGCAGAGTCTTCTTGGCCTCCCCCAGCAGATCTGCATGGTCAGACGTATGGACTGGGTCAGCTGCCCCTTTGAAGTGCTGTTTATGCTTTGGGGAGGAAACTGCTTCCAGGGATGGGTCTAAAGGAGACTGAAAAGAGAAATGACAACCTCAGTATGTGAGCCTTGAACACCAGCCTTATGGATAGGACTAAGAAATGACCATCCCACCACAGTCACTCAAATGGGAAACAAGAAACAACACTATTCTTCTCTACTAACCCAGCATATGATTAATCATCCCCCAAAAGCAGTCCTACCAGGACAATCAGCAAAGGGTCTTTACCTTCTTTCTGGGAAAGAAGACTAAACATTTTTATTGTATGAACATAGTTTTTTCCTTGTTGCCTCCCCCATTAGAATGGCAGCTCCTTGAGGGCAGGGGACTGTCTTGTGCCTTTCTTTGAATCCCCTACACTTAACATAGTGACTGAAACATAGCTGACACTTGATGAATGCTCAGTCACTTAACTTGACATAAAAGAATATGTGTCTGCCTAGATAAATGTGTCTACCATGGAGCACAAGGACCATGAAAAATTATTTTTAAAAGTCGGAGGAAAATTTGTCTAACAGCCCCTAAAAGTTTTGCAGTGACAGTAAGCCACATTGGTCACTCATAGAAGAGTTCTTATTCTTTTGGTTACCAGGCAGATCCCATTGAATTCCAGAGGATCATAGGACTTGAAACTGAAGATGACTTTGGGGGGTGGGGAACTGAGTGTATCTATGAGGACACTGAAGGCCAGAGACATGAAGTGGCTTGATCCTTTTCGTCAATGACCATCTAATTGAATTGGAAACTCTTACATATTATAGCTATTGGGTCTTATTATTATGACCACCATCATCATCATCATTGTCATGACCCATAGTTTTTTATTTCTTTTCTAAGTTCCTGAGATATAGATATTTCCTCTATGACAATAGCTCCCTCTAATATCAAATAAGGGGAAGAAGCTTTCTAAATTGTCAGTTATATTAACATTTTGTTGAGTAAAAGTTTATGAAACTAACACATAACAAGGAAAAATAGTCTACTATCAGTTAAATAACCATCAGAAGAAGATACATTGATCACACTGAACCAGGTGAAATGAAAATTTCAAACCCCCAAAATCAATCTGACACATTCAGGGGCTCTTTGCGGCACTCTGACCTGAGTTACCCCAAAGACAAAACATAGGGATCTGTTGCTGCTGCTGTTTTTGTTGTTCAGTCATTCTGTCATGTCCAACATGCCTTGACCCCATGGATTCTGTCCATGGGGTTTTATGGCAGACACTGAAGTGGTTTTCTATTTCCTTCTCCAGTGTGTCCCCGTTTTGCAGATTAGGAACCAAGGCAAATAGGAGATAAGTGACTTGGCCAGGGTCACACAGCTAGTAAGTGTCTGAGAAGCAATTTGAAGTCAGATCTACCTGCCCGCATTCTAAGCACAGACATCAGCAGTAATGCAAACCAAAGTTGGGAGCCCAGATAATACAGATCAAAAGGAAGCAAGATCCCACCATCTAAGAGTGCAAAAGTGGGAGGAGGCTGACCTTGAGAAAAGTTCCAATTCAGGAAAGGCTGAAAATCTGAGTAAATAGAAGATGACATTTCCAAAAAAGAAGTTTTATGGAACCAGGGATGTCTAAGACACAAAGAAGGATATAATAGCTCCACAGTATCCATAGATAAAAGAGAGAAGACAGGAGGGAGGGAGAGGGAGGGAGAGAGAGAAAGACAAGGATAGAGAGACACAGAGGAGGAGAGGAAAGGAAGAAAAGAAGGAGGGAAGGAAGGAAGGAAGGAGGGAAGGAAGGAAGAAAGAAGGAAGGAAGGAAGGATAGAAGGAAATAAGGAGACCTTTTCATGTACTCTGAGTCATTAAGGCATTGGCCTTGTTATTGTTCTTCAAACTAGAAACTCTATCTCTCAATTCCAGGCATTTTCACTGGTTGCACCAGTGAATCATTTCCTGCTTCATAGCCATTTTTGTTTTCCTGGCTTCCTTAACGTTCTACCTAAAATCCCACTTTCAACAAGACATCCCTGTAAGTTATTAATTCTAGTGCCTTCTCTCTATTAATGCCTGGTTCTTATCTCAATGAGAGACAGAGAGAAGAGAGAGAGGGAAGAGAAAACTGTTTCATTTTGTCACTTCACAGATGTCACTGAAGAGTAGAATTTTGGGGAATCTTAAAGATCACTATTTTCTGGACAAAGAAACAGTCACACAGTAGCAGAAATGGGATTCTTAACTAGGTCTCCTAAGACTAAGACTGGATAGTATTCTTTCCTCATTCAAACACTTTGAATTATTAAGTAGCTCAGAGGGGATTAAATCAAAGGGTCATCTATACTTTGCCTGAAGATTTCCAGTGACAGAGACCTCACTACCTCAAAGGTAGCCCATTCTTCTTTTGAAAGTTCTAATTGTCACAAAGTTTCTCTTTTTATGAGATCAGAATATGCCACCTTGTGACTTCCTAATTCTTCCCTTTGGCATTAAGTAGGACACCACTTTCTGATGACAATCCTTTAAGTATTTAAATTGACTAAAAGAAACTCTCCTAAATTATCTGTTTTTCAAACAAACATTCAAAGTCACCTAGAAAGTTCTCAATAGTACCAGGACTTAAACCTCAATCTTGAATCCTAACCTAATCCTTTTTCAAGGGGTAGGGAATACAATTTGTGTGTTATCTCTTGGGCTAATACTAGATAATCTTTTTTCTGGTACACTCCTACATTAGCTAAAAGAATTAGAACAGTTTATGTTGACTTTTTTTTTTTAATAAATGAACAGGGACCTACATTTTCTCTGATTTACTAGTAACCATGAAGTAGGATGGTCACCGATCTTTCTCTTAATAGGGTGAGGAGTACAGTTAATGTTTTCAGTCTTTTTACTCCCTTTTTCCTTGTGTCTTGTCAAAGGGAACATTTTGTTATTGAGTTCTAGCCCTTCTGTTTAGAATATGAGCCATAAACTGTATTGATGAGGTGTGTGACTCAGTATTAACTATTTCTACAGTTAGAGGAAGCCATAAAACACCTCATAAATACTGAAACCAAATTAACTCTGCTTTAATTTTCATTGGAAGAAAATGTTTCATTTTAAATTGCTTTGGAGTTGTTAGGGGCAAGGATTCAAACAATCTGAAGTCTAGTGAATTTTACTGGTAAGTGTGCAGAAAAGGAATTGTGAAGCACCCAGCCACATCAGTTATGGGGAGATGGACATCCAACAGAATGTTTCCTTTTTCTTTTTCAGTGACAGCATAGGCTAAAACCCCAAGCAAGTTTGCAGAAAACTATTACACAGTGGCATATCTTATAAGAGTGTGGAAAGTAGATGGAAAAATGTCAGAGTACCTGATCCACCACTGCGCTGTTATTCCTAGATAAACATGAAAAGAGAAGCCTGATTCTTCCAATTAGGATCTGACATAGACCTTTTTGTCGTTTCCTAACAGACTTTCTTGCATGTTGTTGATTTGAAAATTCGTTTGCCATTGCAGACATGACAGGAAGAATCTTCTGGATGATACGGCTGGTTCTGCATGGAGACAATATGTATGTCAATGAGAAGGAGGCCACAAGGTCCATGTAGAGTCCACAGCAATGTCCTCAGAAAGGTTCCACTACAATCTCTTTCTCACTATTTAGCAAGTTTTCCTTGGAGCTGCCCCAGTGGAACTGTGCTACCTGGCCTGCTTGGAGCCAAGAAGGTGGGCTTTGCTTCTAAAAAGCATCTTCTAAAAAGATGATGAAAACACAGTGTTTAGATTGTAACTGTTGCAGTACCTTGTCTTTATACACACATAAGTGTGGATATATGTATGTGTGCGCATATATATATATATATATGTGTGTGTATATATATACATATATATATTTACATATGAATATACACATGTGTATTTACCTATGTACAAATGTATATGTTGTTCATAAATTAAATATAAATAATATATATATATATATATATATAGTATGTATAAACTATATTAACCTAAACAATTGGGTTATAGGCATTGATTTTTGTTCATCTTTCATTTTAGAAGAGGACCAGTGAATTACAAGAGTGACATTTTGACTTGCAAGTGATTTGGATTTAAGTAAGACAGAGCTGTGCCAAGTCATCAGCCCAACCCTCTGCTCCACAGTCATCAGAGTTCTGGGCAACACATAGGTCAGGACCACTGGAGGCAGCACCAGATGCATTAAAAGACCTTGAGCTTTTTAAATTAAGGTGTTTCCCAGGTTTCAGTTTCTCTGAGGCAACACCCATTTAGTGATTCAGTTTGGTAAGCAATGAGGCAAAAGATGGCCTACTGTGCCTTCACAAAAGAATCCATCTGAAAGTGGAAGACCTTCAGAATTTCTGACTAGAATAAAACCTATTAAGTGAGGATAGGCCTCTCTAGCTAAAAGAAGGGACATCTGAAAGGAATAACATCAGTCATTTACATCTTTGTTCAAATTAGTCAGTTCCTGAGAACAGAATCTTGCCAGTCATGCAAAATTTGCTGGATGAGAAGGGACGACCGTATAATCCAATCTGGGGATTACATAATCTAAACTGGGATTTTGTCTAGGAGGGCAGACTTGGGTGAGAAGCTTAATGACAATCCCTTAGGTGGTAGAGAGCCACTGGGCACCTCCTTGAAGAAGGAGGAAGGTGACAAAAAATGTAGGTGAGGGGAAGGGGCAAAAAGATGATGGTTCTTGAAGACAAACTTAATGTCCTTCACAAGTTAGCATAGGCTCATCCCTGTTTAAAATGTCTCCCTTTGTCAGTATCCATGTATAATTCAGTATAGGATTGTTCCAACTGGGGCTTTCCATTAGAACTCTGGAGGGGACTTTGTGCTGGCCTCTTTGGGATTGTTCCAACAAAGGATCTTTGCTCTGAGTGTTCCTCAACGTGGTTATCCTTCATTGAGGTAAAATGGTGAAGTATTTAACTTTGTTTGTCTTTACTGGGACTGACCCTGAAGAGGGCAAAAGAATGGATTAAACAGGCTAGGTATCCCTCGGAAATTTGGTACTGTCATTCAGCAATGAATGTTTTTGGTGTCCTCTACTTTCCTTTTCAGTATTCTCCCTCGGAGTTGGCCAGTGCCCTGGAACGCCCCCAACCCTCATTGCCACACACCACTTTGTCCTACCCTCTCCAAATCATCTCCTCTCCAACCTTCAATCAAAGTCTTGCTCAAGCCCATAGGTTCTAACACATCCCTGCTATACTCTAGAACAATGCTATATTATCCTAATGACTATTAATGTAATACTGTTCTTAGCCTAAGGAATTTGCAAGATGAATCCAGCAGAGATGATTCTAGCACTATATAGTGAATGAAGGGTAAGAGTGGGTGATTCATTGAGACATTTGGGGTCTTCTGGTGCCTGTCCCTCAACTACTGATGACTTAATGATACCATTCTACTCTTTCATCTTTTGCTGTGCACAAAATTCCTTTAAAGGTATTAACATCTTGTCTGTCTTGATCCTCATCATAGTACTGTGAGGTAGAGAGGGAAGATATTAGTACTTCCTCTTTTTCGGCTGAGAAAACTGAGTCTCATAAGTTGTAACACTTGCTCAGATGTATATGCCACACAGGGACCTTCCTACTCTGACTCTGCTTATGTCCGCCCCTCTATATAGTGATGTAATTTTTGAGGACACTGTTTTTCATTTTTCTATGTTCCAATTTTGTCAATTTTTGTGCTCCAAGGGAAAACTTTCCTTAGAGTTTCACAGATTTGCTTCTGGGGAAAAAAATTCTAAACAAATATCGAATATCATGTCCACTAAAATATGTTGAATAAATCAGAAAAGTCTCAATATCACTCAGTTATCCTACATTGCAAGTTTTAGTCCTATCTCCAAAAATTAGTGCAATAAAATGGGCACCAACTATTAAGCAAAGTTTTTGAAGCCTTTGACGTGTGATGGGTACAACACAGTAGTGTGACTGTTTATTTTCATTTTCCATTTTTTATAATTAAACTTAAAAACAAGACAAGAAAAAACAAAAAAACCCTTTAAGTACTAAAACTAAAATAATACAAAATAAGAGGAAAAAAGCATTGTCTTGTGCACAGCAGTATGTGAGAGAGGATTGAAAATATACATCAATAAATTTCCATTTGAAGAAAGCATATATACTAAATACTACTCATTGTGTTTAGATCTGTCCGTCTTTGCTTCCTTATACATTTTCTACACTGTTGTGCACTTTTTACATTGTTCTTTTTTCCCCCTTCCTCACCTTCCCTCACTGCAGAAGGCTACAATTAAGCAGGGATATGCATTATATATATACATATGTATATACATAGAGAGAGAGAGGGAAGGGGAAATTGAGAGCTATCAGTATGATGTAAGTATGTATGTATGTATGTGAGTGTGTATGTATACATATATACACATATGGAAACATATGGAAATGCATATATACGTATACATATATAAATACGTGCACATTTATATTATACATTCTTATACATGTGCACATACGTGTATGTACATACATATATTTGTAAGTATATATATTATACACATACTAGAAGAGTTATAAAACACGAAGCTACTTGGAGATCAGACCACCCAGCTCTGATATTGATGCCAATATCTCTCTTACCTTTTTCCAAAGTAGTTTTACAAATGATATAGTGACTTGTAAATAGAAATATATATATATATATATATATGATTTACTATTCTTTATCTAGAAAACTAAGAACATCAAAGTTTTTAGTAAATCACTTCAAAAGAAAAATGAAAGTCTAAGACCAATCCACAGAAAGATCCTGTCTTATTAAATGGCTGCACTGCTATGCCAGTAGAATGTTAACATTTCAAAGAAATGGTTGCTGAGTGATGACATCACTGCTCTGCCAGTAGAATGTTGACATTTTAAAGAAATGGTTGTTGAGTGCTGATACCACAAGGATCAACAGTCAGAAACTTGCAGTGATTTCAATTCAATTCAATTTAACAAATACATATATTAATTGCCTAGTGTGTGGCTAGGGATACTGAATAGAATAAAACACTAAGGATCTGGATTCAAAAGATGATTCACTATGTGTGTATATACATATTTGTGTATGTGTCTCTGTGTGTGTGTGTGTGTATACATATACATATATGTGTGTATGTATGTATGTATGACTTAGTATTAGAACTATGAACCTGGAAGCTGCTGGGAGATCAGATCACACAGCTGTTATTTTGATGGCTATATGTCTCTTACCTTTTTCCAAAGCAGTCTCACAAATTACACGAAGACTTGCAAGTAGAAGTATATGATATACTGCACTTTATTTAGAAGATGAAGACCAATGTTTCTACCCTATATAGTAAAGTAGAAAAATGCAAATCCAGCACCAACTGGTTGAAGAATCCTATCTTATTAAACGGCTGCACTGCTATGCCAGTAGAAGGTTGACATTTCCACCAGATGATGGTGGAGTGATGACCTCACTGCTATACCAGTAGAATATTGACATTTTAAAAAAATGATTGCTGATAATGATATCATGAGGTTCAATGGCCAGGAAATTTGCAGTGGTTTCAAGTCAATTATTTATTAATTGCAGAGTATGTTGCAAGGGATACTCAATTGACTTACCCACTAAGGATCTTGATTACTATGTGTCAAAAGGAGGGGATGAGGGGAAAGTCTTATCCATATTGGTTATGTCAATTCAGAGCAGCCCTCCATGAGGTATGAGGACATGCAGTAGGGTTAGTCTATTCTAAATTGAGGGGTGGGTGTCAAAGAGCACAGTCCACAGTAGCTCTAAGGGTAAGTGGGGTAGATACCCCAAACTCTCCTCTCTTAGGAAGATGGCCAAGGTTGCCTCTGATATAGGGATATAGGGGGTCAATGGAGGCCACAAGTGAGGTACTGTACACTGGGGTCCTAAAAATAAATAAACCCTATCCACTCTGGTAGACACCAGTGCAGAATGCACAGTGCTACATCGGAACCCAGAAAGACATCCTGTCAAGTGGGTAGCCATAGAAAGATATGGGAGAAATTCAGTCAGGGCAAAACAAACTAAATTAAGATTGAAAATAGAGGACTTGCCACCAGAGAATATGTGCTTGACATCAGTACAGAGGAAGAACAGCATGGGTAGGACAGGCAGGGGTCTCTGGATCAGCAACTTCTCTGGGGTCCTTGTTGCTTCCCCTTATTTTGTAAATTTGCCAGGTCCCTGGAAACCATCTGTGTGGGCAAGGTCAGCAGTCCTGGGAAAAGAGCTTGTTTGCTCAGAATTTGCAAGTTTATGTATCATGTAGAAATGAGTTCTAACAATTGACCCTCACACCAGGAAAATTTTAAATTTGAAGAAAGAAAACCAATGAAAGATGTTAAGCCAAATCTCTTGTGTATGTGAGGCCTGGTAAATTTGTATTGCTTATTGCAACTCCATGAGAGTAAAAAATAATTGTATCTCTCCCTAAGCCGTGATTAGGGGAACTTACCATTTCAGGTAAAAGCTCTCAGAACAGCAAGAGATTTCATTTTTAGGTTTCAGCTTTGAATTTATGTATAGATGTCTGATGAATCATTGAGTCAG